TTTCGCTTCCGACGGGAAGTGTAACGCGAGGCATTCGAAATGCGCTTTTTCGTAATGCCGAGACGGGCGGGGAAAAGCTGGGTCTTGTTTCCCGCCGATTTTTGCGCAGACCTCCCGACCATTTCCCAGAACTCCTGTCTTATGCCGTGCGGAAACGTGATCGATGCGCCGGGGGCTGGGATGTGACAGGGCGTGGGAGAACGGAATGCGGGTTGATGTTTTTCGTAGCTTTTGTTTTGTTCTTCTTCTTCATCTTCTCCCAACAGGATCGATGATAATGGGATCGTTGCGTGACATGGGTAGCTCGGTGACGTAACAATTGATCCAGCTTCTGATGTGCTCGTCTTTCCGTGATTTAATTGTGTCTGCCTTTTTTCCCCCCTTCTACCTGCATACGCTAATTCGCCCTTGACTTAGCGTCACCAGCAGTCTCAATTCTGACTTACACAAGACGAACAACATATTCTCTAAGGAACATCAACGGTCATGACCAATTGGTCCGTGGCAAGCATAGACGATAAACGTAGACTTCACGAAAAAAAAAACTACAGTACAATTTTTTTTCAATCCCACCAGTAATAAACCGCTGTTAAAAATATGCTTGTACGGTACTTCAATTTCTAGATTTTTGCTGATTATCCAAAAGTCAAATAAACAGAAAAACAATAGAACACATGGCTCAGGGAAAACAATTTCTGAAAGGCAGAGCAGGTCTTTTCCTGAAGGCTCAATGCTTACGGAAAATTTTGACTGTGTCGAGTAATGGAGTACTGTACAGTTACTGCAAACTTCAGTCCATCCCTCATGATGGGGCTTGTTTGTTCCCAAGTCAAGCATACGCTTCCAGAAAACGTATCATTATTCGAATATATACACCAGCCGGAAGTTATGTTTATTCGGTCGTCTGTTGGCGACAACTTTTGCCTGGCTTCTCCATCGAGTATCGGCTTCACATCCGGGATGGTGAACTTGTCGACGCCATAAGAAACGACTAGCTTCTTCGTGAAAAACAATTACCAGATAAAATAGCACGACATTCAAATGGGAAATACTGTATTCGCACTTGTATTTGAAGAAATTTTTTCAGAAAAGCCTTGATTTTACACGCGTTCGAAATGTTCGGCAAGCGTCAAAAGAAATGTTCTCTGAGAGTTTTCTAGTACAATATTCGACGAGGCGAAGCATTTCAAAATTAAAACCCAACGTAAAAGGCTCCAAGACTAAGAGAACGGTGCTTCCTGAATCGGATAATTGTACAAAACCAAGAAAGAAGATTATTTATTGTCCATGGAGACCAATAAATCGTCAAAAATAAATGAATTACGTGGAAATTCAACACTTTCAAAAATAAGAAGAAATGAAACGGCATTACGGATGATACATGCACAAAAGAATTTACGAGCCCCTTCGCGAAGTGATGAAAAGAAAAGGCGATTCTAGCATCAGTACTGTATCATCATATTCATAATCTGATGTATCTTGAACTTGAAAGGAAGAACCTTCTTTTCGTCGTCATCGGTTGATGCTTAAAAAAAATAAGCTGGGGCATTAAAAATGGGGCATTTTACAGACGACGTTTTCCTGCCGTCGTCGCAGCAACGTTGACAAGGAGAGAATATTTCGGCTTTCAACCGCAGCACAGGACGAGAATAAAAATAATAAAAACCCAAGACGAAAAGAACCCGATCTTCCAAAGCAAACAGAAGAATACGATCTCTTCCCGAGCAATGTCTTCGCCTCACGGCGACGAACCAGGCGGGGAAATGAACTCAACCATAAAGGTCGCATATATCACGCCAAAACTCCAGACACTCTTGCCATGGAAACGGACAAGCGACAAGGAGATGCGAGCGGAAATAAAGCGCACGGAAACCGGCGACGAAAATTTTTTTCTCCCATAAATACAGGCACCCCCCGTTTCTTTTTTGCTTTCCGACCCCCAGAATTTCGCTGACTCGGTTTTGCGCCCACTGGAAATTCCCCGCGACAGCAGCTTCAATCCCTCTCTCGGGGTTGAGGCATACAATGAATCCTTCTCAGGCTTTTCCTGTTCAACTCCATTATTCACAACTAAAGGTCTGCGTACCCGCGGCGTATGAACAACACGACACCGAAGTTCCGCTTTTCGTTTCGGCACCCCAGTTAATTACACAATCCGTACCCGGCTGCTGATTCAACGGGGTCAAACCCACGAGCTTCATTAAACATCCACAGGAGGTAGGGAAGTACAGTACAGTACAGCATTAACTTCCATAAAAGATGCACTGCCGTTCGTTCTTGGCCCCAAAAATGAAGATGCTATTTTATTGCATTTAACGTGATTTCTTCCTCACTAGTGTTCTGTTGATTTTACTTATGTTTTAGTCACGAGCGCAATCTCATCAAACACCCAGCAAAAATCAGTATTCTAACTTTCGTACCCTCCATCCAAGGACAAATAACACCCAAGGTTGAGTTCAATCATTTTTTTTAAAATTCCGATACTAAAGGTCGTGTTAATCAGCCAGAAGCAATCACCCGATTTACCAACGAATACAAAACGACACCGAATATACGATGCACCCTAATTTTTAAAGCCAATGTTCACAAAAAGTGTCTTATACTGTTCTCTAATGAATACGGCACAGTCAAACCTGTCCAAGTCGAATTACACAAAAATTAGTCAGGGAGGTTTGGAATTAGGAAAACAAGAAAACTTGTTGGGGGGAGGATAAGAAAAACAAGAAATTCTAATCGGTGATATTCTGGGCCTTAAATTGCTTCTTATATGAGTCGACAGGATGCTGAACTTGGGGGCAACGGTTCATTTTTCCAATCAATATTTCACCTCCTTTCGAAACACAAGTTCACTTTTTACTGCTTTTATCTTTCCTGTGTCAATAAAATAACAGACAACAGGCTTCCAGAAATTTCTAGTCACAGTGGTTTTATGGAGAAAACCTTTGATTGAGGGAGGTTTTTAATACATTCTTTCAAAAGGAATCCAACCGGGAACTTACAAAAAATATTGACACAGAGGTTTGAGTAATCAAGGTTCAGCTGTAACAATTTCCTGAATAAACTTTTATTTCTCGCACTTAATGATTAAAAAATTCCTTCGTTGACCTCGTAGAGATAGAAATACGAGAACCCGAGCTTTCTCAAATACGCAGATGGTTCACGAAAAGCGAATCATGAGACACAATAAAAAGCCAGCAGGTATCCTCGTAAATCTTGATTCACGTCATGCGGCTCATGGTGAGCTCCGTACTTTCGCAGACTCAAATGTAGTAAAAATTCGGAATTACGCGTAAATTCCAGAAAAAAGGAGGGAAAAGGAGACGAGGCAACGGCTCCCACAAACCACACCCAAGACATTACATTCGATCCTTTCTACCCGACCCTTTTTTTTTTTATAACCACACGCCGAATAAATGAACCACAGGCTGCTTCCCCCGACGTAAAACGTAGAGTGAGGCCGAATTTGAAATTCTAGATTTCGTTCTCTTCAAACAATATCTTCCAGATCAGCAGAATGAGAGCAGCAGCGAGGGAAAAATAGAACAGGGTTTCTCGTGGGACCATAACTGTCCCAAGAGCATTTCATTCAATGTTCGGCAGATGTCCTCCAGAACAAAGAAAAAAATATATGGGGCGACGTCTGCTCCGCTTTTCTCGTGACAGTATTCCTGTGACTTTCAAGACACTCTGAAAGATTTCGGCTCCCGAAGAAAGAGTTCCCAAGCCCGATCAGTTCACTGAAGATGGGTAATATCTCATCGTGCCCTCGCATCATCAACAGGATTTCACGCTGTTCCTCACATATGCAGCGGATTGCTTCGTCGTCCAGCATCTCGACCACACACACAAACACGAGCTACAATCCTTGTCAGTCTATTCCCCTCGGTTGAAAAATTAGCAACCCAGATGAAAGCAACTGCGGAGGCTTCTTCAGATCTTACGATGGCATTGATGAAGTATTCGAAGGCGCTTGAGCTGCCAGCCATGCAATCTTAATTTATCTTCCTTTGGGCTTTGGTCAAGCTCCTGGCTTCTTTGCTCGACACGCATGCGATAGGCAAAATTTCAACCCCAATCCATGTGACTACAATAACGTTACGGAAGCACGTAGAATACAATTTGAATAACTGCTACATTCTTTTGTTAATCCTCGATTTTCAGAGCCACTGATTGAGCTCTTGTCCACCCAGATACCACGTGGAATCTCTCTAAAAGAATTTTGTCAAACGATTTTCTCTGCATAACGAACATTTTTCTTCGTCCCACAGGGTGCTCTCTCCATGTTCCAGGGGTTCACTACAGCAAAATTATCTTTAAAACGAAAATGTTCTTGTCCCTCGTATTTCGTCGTAGAGAGTGTACCGTTTTAATCAATTTAGAAAAGTGGAAAAAAGTTCTCCGAGGAGGAAAACGGAATTTACCAATCATCGAACTAGGAATAGAATAACCAACTTTCTCCCAACCTTGGAAGAGAAGAAAAATTTCCAGAGGCCTTCGGGATTCCTTTAAAAAACATGAACTTCAACTTGCTTCTAATGAAATCAATAAAATCTTTAAACTCCCGAAGCTTTTGTTGATCTTGATCTACACGCGCATGAAAAATACCCAAGAGTGCAGGGAATAAAGCGGCACCAATTTAAATTAGGTAGGCCACTTTCTTCTGATCTGACTTTAAATTATGACCCAGTTTAGTTAATTGCAGGGCCAATAAAAAATTTGCGCAACCAAGTTGAATTTCCTCAAAACTAAGCGTCAGACCGATTACTCCATGCACACTATCGACCAGAAAAAAAAAAACTTATCCGCGAAATCTCGATCATAAACCTCCACGACCCGCTACATGAAATGATTCGTGGGATCACGATATGTACAAAGGCAGGATGCTGGTAAACTTTCCCAAACAAGACACATGAATGTTTTCATGAATCATGTAAATTTCGTCACGAGCGTAAGCGAACGAGACGCAAAGAACAGTAGTCGGCGGAAAACGCATGGATGAACTACACATTTCCGGCACTGAACTCTTCCAACAATTCCCGCGGAATGTTCATTCCAGTCGGGACGAAATTAGCTGGGAAGCGCGGAATATGCAAAGAATTCACACTCACTTGTCACCAGCTCGGGTCTCATCACCGTGAGCATAGCATGCGAGCACGGCGCCTCCCAAGGCGTGTCCTCGGGCACGTTCTGCGGTCTCAGGTACGTGGGCAGGTCTTCGCAACGCGGCATGCGGAAATGCCCACGCGTTTGCAAAACTCGTCCCACCTAATTTATGGAGTTTAGAGGAAAACGAAGAAGACACAATTGTCACGTGAAAGAACAGCCATGGCATAGGAATGGAAATAGATTCAACGATGCGGCAATGCGAAAAGGAGAATGAAAAAGGGGGATCTCCGGTCTCCATGCTCACAATTGAATAAACCATCTAACACCTAGAATATTCTTGCGTTGTGCAAAAAAAAATCAAGCAGAGGGATATGGCACGAAAAATGGAATTCTTGAAGCCAAAGGATATTCCCAAGTTTCGAAAGAGCAATTGAACGTGTACAGTAAAACACTCGGAATCTTGAAGCCTCTTCTGTTGCGCCCAGAAATCAACGAGGAAGAATACTGCACGAAAAATACAAATTTTTCAAGTTAAATAAAATTTCCAAGTTTTGAAAAAGTAATGCGAAAAAGAGAACGAAAAAAGGGATCTCCGAATCTATGCTCTGAATCGGATAAATGATTAAAATCATGAAAAGTCTAACGTCGCGCCAAAAAAATCAACGAGGAGGAATACTGCACGAAAAATTAAATATTCGAATCATTTTCGACATGAAACCTTTCGAAACTGAAAAAAAATACTCAATCGGGCAGACGGATCTTCAAAACTAATCGTCATTTGAAGTAAGTGAAGCTTACTGTATCAAGCCGAAATTAAGTGGTTTAATTTGAACAAATTTGGATGATTGCCTGTTGAAAATTGTAATTCAAAACAGAGATCTACTCAACTCGGCCATTCAAAACTTAGAAATAATGGAATAGACTCAATAGAGGAATAGAAGGGCCAGTTCTCCTGGACTCCTCCCAGTAATTCTACGTAGATGAGATTTTAAATTGATAATAAAAAGCGTCATGTGTCGGAGACGTGCCCGCAAATTATCTGCAATGCATTTATATAGCTAAAATAAATATTTTCCCACATGAGATGAAACGTAGATGCGTGCTCATGAAGATCCGTCGTGAAACAACATAGAATTTAATTTCTGTGAGTGAACTTTCTGAACATTCGCAATAATTTGGTCATTTTGAGTGCCCTGGTCTTTGTGTGTTGATTTAATGGCAAGAATATCTTCCTTTATACTTTCAAGTGTTAAATTTGTTTTGTCAACATTCGTTTACTGCCGTCAAATTGACCGCATTGGTCCTCTGGGCACTGAGCTAAGACAAATAGTACAACGTGCACTTTTTTCGGATCTTTGGAGCCAAAATATTATCTAGAAAAACACGTTGAGTCACGATACACCGTGCAGTAAAACACAAGTTCATATTTATGACAGAGCCGAAAAATCATAAGTAACGATACTATTTTCGAAGCATGCCCTTCCTCAGATCATCCGGCTTTTCCGGAACAGAGAAGAAAAACTCCTCACCTTTTTCTCTTCTTCGATAAGGAGCCATTCGTTATAGCAGAAAAGGTCACGAACAGCCATACAGTCCTCCCTGCACAGCGGCAACCCGACCGGGTAGCCCTTCTGCATCTGACACGATGGGAACGCATAGTGGCACAGCACCACCTGTGGACACACAAAACCCCAAGCGCTCGTTGGATTAGAGCCAAAGGATGAGAGTCGTGCAGAAACGAAACAAAAACAAAACTCCTAAAAAAAAAGACGGCAGAGTGAAACAAATAAAACACAAACGATCGTCGGTAAAAAAAAACTCTATTTTCCGTGACACACGAGCTTCGCGTCCGCCTGGGAAACACAAAGGACCTCGTCAGATGCAACCCTACTACGTCACCCCCATTGTTATTGCTATCCCACACATACCAAGGGCAGAGATCTCAAGGAAAGAAAACCCCCCACTTTCGGACTTCGAATGCGATAACCTTTGTTCGGCTCGCAACGTTGTCGCGTTAAATGGCAAGAAATATTTTGATTCTTGAAAAAGGAAAAAAAAAACCTGAATGCATCAGTTCGCGATCTTCACCTACAGAAAAATAACGATTTGCTACAATATGTCAGCGGCACATCACGCTGCACAAAAAATTGGTCGGTCATACAACTGCTAGCCTGATGGCAAGTATTATGTTCTTAATGTAGTTTCGTTCCTCCAGATCCGGTCCTACTGTATTCCTACTATGAGATATTCGAAAAAGTAATCCTTTGTTGAAAATAATTATGAAAACAGTGAGACGAGCCTTGCGAAAATATCTCCGAGTCAGAATTAAAGAGAAAAATGAGGAAGTAAAGGCGGATGGCTCATTCCGTAGGACCACGAAATGATTAACGTCGCTATCAGACCACTCCAAATGGGGCAGAAATGTGGTTCAACTGCGATCCCGGAGGGAACATTTCGTCACCAACGAGAAAGAGAGAACAGGGGGACGCTTTACTTAATCTCAGACCAAGATTCATCAACCGGGACCACATCGGGTCCATCAGCTCAAAGCCTTGCATGAAAATGCCATCAGGAACCTCATTTCCGAGTATCGCCTCGGGTCCGCAGTTGGCGAAAAGCACGGGCCAAGCATCGATTAAACCTCAAGTTTTCCACCCGAAAGCATCTTTCCGCAGCGAGGTCCCAGCGAAATTCGCATATCTGCCTGAAAATTTCCTCTCGACGTCTGACGACTCATCGATCTGCCAGAAGTCTTCCATCAATGTCGTCTTCTCTCTCTCCCCCCCCCCCTCCTTCGCACCTCGCATCAATTCTCACGGATGTAGAGAAAAAAGGAAGCTCCAAGCAAATAAAAATGAGAACGAAAAAGAAGAAAGAACGACGGGTTTCTAGGGGACCTCCTGATAGACGTACATGGGAGCCGACATGCAGTCATTGACAGCGAATAGAACACGCCTCTCAAAGAGCACGGGAAGTGCTCTGGGATGGTGATTATTGTGCGCTCAGCTGGATGGGTCAATGCCAGCGATGGTAATGAGGATTGCCAGTGCCTTTTCTCGCGAGCTCGGTGGATCGAACCGCATCTTCCACCAGGCTTTTCGAAATGGCAATCATTTTCGTCTAGAAACCTCGAAGTCTGCGCAACTTTTCTCGTCAGTACACTATTATGCAAGAACAGTACTAGGATGATGTGTCTGTCACGGTTCTCACTTCTGGTGACGATTTCAACCATGTTTCAAGATTTTGTTGATAGGAAATGCTCAGATTGCTTCCCTTCTGACATGTTTTGTTCACACAGAAAAAAAAATCCAAGAATAATAAGCGACATTTTTCCAAGGATAAACAAGGAGGGAAAGAAGCAGACGAATTTTCGATGAATGATGCCTTGTGAACGGCTCAAATAAAAAATTTTAAAACAAGGATTCCCCCGAAAACTGTTTATAGCGGCATTGATTTGACAACTACAGCAATACAAAAATGTTACCGACTTATTTATCAGCTAAATATTTTGGATTTATCAAACTTCGGTGTTCGTACAGGAGATCTGGGGGTTTTTTTTATTGTTCGGGAAGACAATGGGATTTTCAAATACCCGCATTAAATGAACCGATTCAATCGAAGAAGGATGCTCCAGAAGTTTCATCTGTTGATTGACTCGAAATGAAATTCTTCTGTTACTCATGCGACTCGGTCAAATTGCTTCAAACCACCGTAAGAAGCTTTTATTCCATTGCTGGGGCTTTCTTGAATCACAATCTTGACTTGAGGAAGTTCTTGATCACTTTTGAAACTTTTAAAGTACGAAATTCTTGACATACAGTTTTACCGGTGCCAACATCATTAAGAACATAATACTTTCCTCGTAAGTGTACGATCAGAGGCATTCATTTGAAACGCAACCGGGACATTCCTATCAAGACACTTTTTTGATTATTCGAAATACTTTTGGCCTTTCATTTAGACTACTGAATTCCAAACCCATACGCTAGCTAAATTTTAAATTACAAAGAAAACGTTAACTTTGACCGATCCGTCTTCAAGTTTCAACAAAAACTAGCAAAATTTGAATCCGTAATCTGAAAATGAACGAAGATTACTCTATTCATCCAAAAAGACTCGAAGGCGGGAGGCACAAGATTGTCAAAGCGTATGAACGAGCCGTAAAACATCACTACCAATTTACAGCGCATTTCCAGAAGTTATCACACATCTGATTTTACGATTACGAGTCCTCGAAACTTGTTACAATTTTTTTCTAGTCGAAAGCATTCCCTAAATACGAGTTTCCATCAGGCTTGAATTCTATCTTCGGGTGCGCAACCAATTCAATAAAACTGACCGTGGAAAAGAGCTCGCATTTGGACACACGCGAGTCCCGGTTTCTCAGCTTTCAAGAGGCTATATAATTACCTATGATTACTGAAAAGCAAACAGAAAATTATGATGAATATTTAGAAAAAACGGGGAAAAAAGGTGGCGGGAGAGAAAAAAAAACTGGTATAAAATAAATATAAAAAGACGGGGAACGTTCGACTGACTGCAAATGCAAGTGCGGAACGTTCAGGAATGCGGGAGAACAATTGCATCCATGCAGATGAAGAGGAAGGCGCGCGATGTTTTCGGAACAATGTCGACGCCAGCACCCAGCACCAGCAACCCGGACCAACGTGTCCCGGCCCAGTTGATCCGGAATGCAATTACTGCGCACACTAGGCTCATCCGTTCCCACTGCTCTCGCACGCCCCAACGCTGCGCTTTTGCCCGCAGATTGATGCGCCGACACAAGAATTCCATTATGAACTTCCTTCTCGGAACTCTCGCTAAAGGTACACCTTCTCCAACGACAAAAAAAAAAAAAAATCAACCATGAAAAGAATCAGAGAAAAGAAAAAAGTGCGGATGAAGCCCTCAACTCGAATGACGCGCGGAAGTGACCAAATTTGAAGTTCTGGGTTTTCGAAGAAGGTTTCATTCGTGCGCGGACTCAACAAATGGATATTGCCTCTCCAATACGCACTGGTACGCGTGCAGTACAGTATTTCCGAAAGACAAATGCGATCATCTTTTCGAAACTCAATTTAAAAACTCTTCGAAATATAATACGCAATACGATCCCCGAAAGTTCGGAAAAGGAATGTACTGCATCACACGGATCATGAATGTACAGTAGAACTACAAGGATAAAAAAATCGCCTTGCGATGACGCAACGTCCCCTAAATTTGAAAAGCGATACTGTATTTAAATTACGAATCCTATGAGAACAATCATTCAAGAAATAAAGATAAATCGGTCACAGATTGAATCAATAAATTATCAGAGTCGGCCATCCGTACTTCTGCATTTTATTGACATTTATTGATCACACATGTTCCTAAAAATCTGTAACTTGTCACAGACCAGTATCCGTCCTCAAATCGACATTTCATGATCCGGGATCATTTTTATTCCTTATTTCAACGTTTAATATTTTCCCCGCCCACAACTGAATTAATCTATTATGCTATCTTCAAGCACTGTACTTCGGTTCTGAGCAGAATGAGTGTTGAACATTTTCGATCTTACGCGCATATCAATATACTCTATGTAAATAGGGCATTCTGTGATTGGCCCAGATAGTGTAGGTTCCAGTGGATTTAAATTAAAAGTAACATTTTACGTACAGTACTTGAGAATATGGCAACAGAACACTGCATTAAATGGGCTTTTCTGAACTCTCTCGTGCTCCTGATAAATGCAGGAATTTATCATATCCGAAGATAACCTCGAGGAAAGAAACGTCCTACCAGCCTGGAACTGCACACATATTCTCGGAACTGACAACCGCCTTTTTTTTTAATATACGCTTTAAAAGAAAGGAAAAAAGACAGTATTTTTCACGGGGAGAACTAGACAGGACGAACGGTTGCAAAAATTTTCAAGATGGCGAGCCTCAAATATGTTCAAGATAAGATCTTGGGGAGGCAAAGTTCAGCCTCCAGAGGAGGGCAAACGCAGCAACCGAGGCTTTTCTGTGATCTTTCCACCTTACAACAAGTTCAAGATAGGATAACTCCCCGTTTTCCTCGCAAAAGTTCCGGCAATTCCACTGCTCCTGCTAGCTATAAATGGATTCGTCTGCCGCATTTCACGACTTCCTCTGAAACTTCTTCTGGCACGTATACGGAGACCTGTACACTTGAGGGGCTTGAAAGCAAACTGGAGAGGAAATGCCTGAGTTTCATGAATTATCCATTCACCATCGCTCGAGGGAATACTGTCCCAACTCCGTTCATCTACATGCTGATGAACCACTTTCCTAGCATAAAAAGTTTACAGTTTGAAAGACATTCGGAGGATCTCGCATTCGACGCGAACACAGGGATAAGACAGAAACCGCGCGACACGAGGAAAATGCGATTCCTAGTTGGCTCATGACTTTTAAATTTTTCTTTTCTCGGAAACGAAAAATGTCAAGTGCTGAACATAAAAAAATCTTTGCATTCTGTATTATTAATTTTCACAGAAAATATTAAATCCTCACAGGAAACCGATGCGCGCTTTCCATGTTCAAAGTGATATTCGTTTCAACTTTTTGCCTCGAAAGTTGAACCTGAAAAATATTTTGCTAGGATCTAGGATTGCTTACTGATGATAGTGATGTTATGGATGATACGACGAAAGGGGTACAACGGTAAATCTTCAGGGTTTTCCGATGATTTTCTTGGACCTAATTTATATTCTGTATACACAAAAAATATTTCAAAAGTATTCTCGGATTCTCTGGGATTCACCGTTCTTGAAAATTTACTTCACAACGGATATTTCCTGGTATGTTCACTCAAATTGAACTTCTCGAGGATCCGGAAGATCTACTGATTCTCATAATGATTTCGGCTGTCAGTCTAATCTCCTCAAACATTCCCATTCACGATCTGAATTACTGTATATATCTTGTATCCCTTATCTGGAATGCGTCAAGATTGGAATATTTCAGACAAATTACGATCCATCGACAAATCCCCTTTTTCAAAAATCCACACAGAAATTATGTTCATTTTCCGTCACGAGAAGACATCGCACAAGACAGGATTGATTTCTGAACGTCATCAATCAGTCTTAAAAGGATGAAATCCATGCCGCAACAGCGTTCCTCGGCATGTTGATCAACCACTTTCCAAGTCCCGTCCATGGCGGCACAAGAGCACTCCTATTCACCACATCTCTCCTATTCTCCGTAGAATTTTCGTCGGCAAATCAGTAGCCCCTGTGATATGCAAATCTCCCCGCCGCAAGTTGGCTTCGTTCTCACGCTCAGCACGGGACTCTCGGTGTTCGAGCGTAGCACAAGAGTGCGGCTTCGGTCATACAAGTCCTACATGAAGGATTTGCTCGTAAGGTCCTCAGTGCGAATCGCTGCTTCGACACACAACAGAAAAGAAGAGTGTATTTGGAGCCGTTACCGAAAAAAAATACTGAGAAAGTACTGAACTTGACTTTTTCTCAAAAGAGAACTGCGCCGGAAAAAACGCGTATTCCTTAAAAACCGGTCAGGATTCGACAATAAAACGATGCTAGGTGGCTTCGAGAGTTATGTTCTTTCTTCTTGAAAACTCCTCACAACCATACGTCAAATGCCAAGTTACTGAACACAAAAAATAGTACGCGTGAAATTACTTACGCAGTGAAGCGTACCATCATTTATTCTTGGTCAAAAACAGAACAACATCTTGCAAATAAAGGCTCTTTAAGTGAACGGAATAGAAAATTTGATCAAAAGTTAGAGGGCATTTTAATCAAGCTCTCGAGTTTTCCTATACGAAAAATCTTCCTCTCTTGCTCGACTGCAGCCCCGATTATTTTTTATCGGTTCGGTGTGGCAAACTTGGGTTCTAAGAAGTTGAGACTCGTTAGCTTCCGTCCAGTTTTCCACAGTTATAACGTGGAAAATTCCAATGCAAGGATTACAAATAAATCCTCGCAGACTGCAAATTTGGTCAAAGGGATTCTTCGAATTTGCATCACTTTTTTCGAGACGCACTTTCCTCAGACTGGATTTTGATAGCAAAATGCAATGGGTTCCCACAACTGTTAGTTTCTACCGAAGTTTACAGAAGTAATGGCACAAAAGAGCGAGTAGACATAGGAGCAACTAAGCTGAACAGCAAGAACAATGTCACCCAAGTTGACTGACTAATTGAACCAATCTTATCCAAACCTAATCTAACCTGGCTTTTATCGAAGCTTATACAAAACGTCGTGTTTAACACTGATGATGCTTGCTCTTTTGTGACTTCTGCTTCTGATGGGCCAACGCCTCGAGTTCATGCGACATCAAATAATCATAATAATGGAAAGATTATATCCTTCTCTCTTTTTTTTTTTTTTTTTTTTTTCTTTTTTTTACTTCGAAAGACGAATCGTCGGCCAACCTGAAAACTATGGACAGGATCAAACCGAACGAAAGCCAAGAATAGCACAAAACCGCCCAAAATAACGTCAGATTCTGTCAGCTGAAAAGGGCGGCACAAAAGACCGGAATGCGACACAGGATGAAATAATGCTGTCATAATTTTCTCGACCTTCCCCGAGGCGTCAAGCGACGCTCGTATTAGCTCCCAAGATGTGACATGCTAATAATCAAAAAAATTCCAGCTAAAAAAGCCGCCACTCGGCGGATCCCGTAAATAGAAGAAGCTATCAGAAACCCGTCGCTGATGGATCAAACAGAAGAACAAGGAAACGCATTACCCTATCAGCTCGAACAACGGCTGCTCCTTCTCTTTCACCCCGACACGAAAAAAGCGGTGGGAGGGGGGGGGGTTTGGGTTGAGATAGGGGTAAAAGCTTTCAGGCGAGAATCCCTGGCAGTGACGCGAGATTAGACAGCAGGGCAAGAAAAAAATAAATAGAGGAAGAAAAAAACTACGCACCTCAGCAGCGCTGCGGCAAGGCTCTTCCAGCGTCATTATGAGCTCCTTCCAAAGCCCTCCGGTGATCTGCTCATTGAGCCAGCCACCCGTGTTGTCATAAGATATGTTGTACCACACGAGTCCGGTTCCGTTCAGCTTCGCCTTGCACACTTGCCCATTGTACGGGGCACAATACCCCTCTGGTGGTGTCAACGTCTTCATTCCGCCTAAATCGAAAAGAAATAAAAAATGAAGAGAGAAACAGTTGTAGAGAACCGAGGATATACCAGATTTTGTCGTCATTTTTTCAACAACTCTGCGGATAACCCATTCACTGTAATCAAAAACCAAAAGGAACGTATACTTCGCGACACAGGAAACACGCACATTAGCCAGCCATGATCAATAATTCAGCTCATCGTCATTGAGTATTTATTATTTTTTTAATCGTTTAATCGCCTCTAAAACACTTATACTTGATGAAGATTTGCGATTGTGATCATGCCTTCTCACTTCCAGGGATATTATAGTTTCAACTCCCCCACATCGGAGCACACAATTGAGATTAAACATATTCTGTGCTGCCAAACGAAGAGGGAAATAATCCAACCTCTCCAACTGCCTCCATTTTTCACTCTTCTGGATAAACAACTCGTTAACCGGATGACGGTTGAATTTCCTCTCATGCAGATGCAAAACATGTTTTTAAAAGTTTCAGTTGAGGTCCACTTCAAGGTGTTCTTCCGCTAATTCTAGCACATAATCTCATACAGCTTGAAAAAGAGTCATTAAGACTTTAATTTGTGAAGAGTAATCTTCTGGCTTTCTTTTCGTCCAGCTATAAAACACGTCGTATTCAAAAACTAAGAGAAATCTAAAAATAAAACATAAATTATTTCCTAGCAATTGTTTGGTACTCCCTTTTCATATAAAAAAAACGCAAAAAGGCGAGCAAACGTGGCGGACTTTGGTTTCCAGCGTATAAATTTTAGAACACTAAATCAACAAAAATCTACAGCAAAATAATTACAGCGGAACTTTTGTTATACTGGCTTCGATTAACGGCGCGTTCAATGAACCGTTCCTCGATCTGATGAAAGGGAACGAAGCGGACAGCGTAATTTAAATTTTAGCTCCTTTATCCTCTTTTTTATCGAATCGAATGTTGTACGAAACGTGGGCGTCATAAAAAGATTTTTCAAGCGATCAAGAAACGTTATTACAGCATATCATTTAGTTTTCCATAACGGAATAGCAATTTCAACATTCGATAATCCGTGATACTTGAACATCATGACATTAGCGCAAAGTCATTAGTTTGGGTACTTGGAGTTCTAACGCACATCCGAGAGCGAAATTCAATACTGTGGGTTTATTTTCCACGACCCTTTCACACAATGAACACATTAAAAAGGGGTCCTCACAAACATCGCTACCAGAAAGTTTCATCAGATACACGTAAGAAAAAAAAGCCTGCAGAAAACCTACCGTTCAGCCCTATCTCGTCTCAACAAAGTAATTCAGATCCAGACTCTCGCAATTTAATAAAAAGAAAATGCCGGTATTGAACCCTAGTTCAAATTTTGTTGCTCGATAGCAATTCCTCGAGGAAAATCTCTTCGAAACGGGTCAATATTTTCAAACGCTCATAGAATCCGATCTCAAGAACAGCGTTCGGTCGGGACCATCGAGTGCAGGCGGCACGTGGCGTTGTTGAAGCTGAATGGCACTCCGTTTCTTTCTTGTACGGGCAGAGAAAAGGAAAACTCGTTTGGCATCAGGTCAGCGCACAGTGACAGCTGTACGTCGCTACACGCAAGATCGTCCATTAATGCAAAAACACGCCACTGCCGTCTGCACACGTCTGTTCGATTAATCCAATCTCAGGTTTCTCAAAAAGGAATATATACAAAAGAAAATACACGAGAAAGAAAAAAGATGGAACACTGGAAGTCGAAGGGACAAAGAGTGGGGAAAAAAAGAGGAGAGGGCAGCAATAGAGCCCGCACCCCAAGTGACTTCCGGGCAGTATAGCGGGGAAGAACGAAATCCATCGCCCGCTGAATATACACGATGGGCAAATGTTCCCCGGATCCTATTTTCCCATCGGGATCCTCTTCATCACAGCCTCGCTGCTTCTCATCAATCCTGAACGCGAAGGAGAAGCTCCTTTCGCGCCAGCGACCATCTTGCGGCGAGGCAGGTACCCGTGGGTTTATTGCTCATTCGCCGCATCATCGGCCAATGAATCTCGCACTGCCACTCATTCAAAATTCTAGATGCCGAGCCACTCGCAGCCCTTTTTCCTCCACGAAGACGGAAAGATCCCTCGAGGGGAAGGGATAAATTACCCCCGGGATATTTATGACTATTGCAGCCAAAGAACTCCTCTCATCATCATCACCATGCATACCAGAAATTTGTTACAACAGTAATATGAGTTACGCTCCAAAAATTGTACAATCACTACGTGCTGACAACCCCAAAAATCTTATTCACTAACTTTCAATATTCTCAAATGATTTTAAACTAAACTCACCGGCAACTCGTGAAGCCATATACTGTATAACTTAGTATATTTTGTAAATTCAATGAACATACTGTATTTCATACGTCTTTAATTATTTGGGAAGCATTTTTAAAATTTAGCATTTGAAATAAACCTCAGCTATTTTGAAAACTTAGACTACGGTGTGACTAACATTACTTCAAACTTCTGCTTCAAAATCCAAAATTTCTGGACTCCTTTTAACAAGCAGATCAAACTCGAAAATTTCTAAATTCGAATAACGGACCGAAATGTTGAAATCAACAAAAATATCTGCGAGAAATTTTCAAACGCAGTCGAGACTTCACTCGATTCATGTTCTGTCAATAGAAACTTCCTCAGCAAGGAAAAAAAAAGGTTCAAGGAAAGTTGATCAAATGAGGAACAATCTTGATAGAAGGCAACCGTGACGGGGATCATTTCCACAAATGATTCACCCCGCATTCGGGGCAGGAGAAGGAATGAAGCTTTACACCCTTACAAAAATGACCACTACCAGAGATGCTCATCGTCGGAAGAATACGGAAAACCCTATCACCCCAAACGACCGCACGGAACCCCCGATGAACGGCCAGAAGAAGAGAAAAAAAAATCACTTGACAAGGAAATATGACCTAATTTGCCAGGCCCGCAACCGAATCCAATATCGTAATGCAACCCGTCTCAGAGCGAACAAAAGCCGACCGAAAGACTGACTGGTATCGCTGCTTACCGGCACGGATTTCCGGTTGGTCGACAGTGACGGTGAAGTTCTTGATTGTCTCGTGCACGCGATCGACGAGGTCGTTGCGTGCGACGCAGCTGAAATGTGTGGTCTCCTGCAAGCTGACGGTCAGCACTGACTGTGAGTAGAAGTCGTGCGCCGCCAAATGCCCTCGGATTACCTACACACGCCAAGTCAGGCACACATAAAAAAGAACCAGAAAAATGTCGTTATGAAATGAATCGATGCAATCGAGCAACAACAACAAAAAAAAGACTCAAACGCGAAGTAATGACTTCATGCGCACATCCAACTGCGCTAAGACGATAACGCAAGGGTACGAGACATTCGCCCACGTTCCATCAACATAATCAAAGACGAGCTCACGACAGGAACATGCACAAGCAAGGGAAGCTCAGGTTCATCAGAGAGAATTTTGCAAATTAGGATGAAACTCGTTCGTTCGTCAACATTTCCCGGTAAAAAACCATTCGGGCTCGTTGAAATGGGTACAGGTCCACAGGTTCTCACACCCCACAAAAACAGAGTGCGACGGAAAATAACTACAGACAAAAAATAAAAGTATGCGGACGAAAATAACGCGAAAGATATTTTTAAAATGCATTTTTAATTGATGTCACCATCCTCATGAGTCAAGACACTTGATTCCAAGAGCTTTATGCATTTCCTCACTGAAGGGATAATTAAATACTGTACTGTAATTAAATGCTATTTTTGCCCCCTTCATAACTCTGTTTCAAGTTCTTTCGTCCGCATTCTCATAAGCCCATGTGGTCTGTCATCCACACTATCTTTCTTCACAAAATTCCTCAAGTACTGAAACACAGAAGAGACGCTCCTGAAATCAGAAATGCTGTCAATTTTAAAGGTGTACGATTGATTCCCGAAGAGCGAAGAACACAACATTTCGGCAACCCGAACAAGCTAAAATGCAATTCATTTTGTTTCCAAATTCGTTAGACATCAATACTAGAGGGATATTTCTAAAAAAAAAAAAAAAATTCGAAAAAAACATCCAAAGAGAACGGAAAGCTTGTCGTAATTTTCTATAGCCATGAATTCCGTCAATGGCATGGTACTCGCTGGAATCCATTAATTTTTCAGCAATGAAAAACATGGAATTTCATGCAGGACAATCTGATACATGCACAACTACACGAAAAAGAGCGAACATATTTTACCCCAAACTTTCCTGGAGAAAACCTACTCCCCTTTCCCCCGGCTATTACAAATTGTCCTACGTTTGTCAGACAAAAAAAAGCCCCCCGCTGATTTGACGACGAAATCAATAAACGTAAGACGATGACTCGCGGGGTATCGGAGCGGAAAATACTGATACCCCGCTGCCAACCCATGGTCACCGGGTACGTGAGACATGCTCCCACCATCCTTAAGGCCTATCGCCACAGCTGCGCGAGAATGTTTTCCGAAAGTACCCCCGGGATACTTTCCCCCCTCATTTCTGTTTTTTTTTCGGGAGGTTTCACACACCCGACCACAATCTCTTCTTCCATTTCCGACTTTCCCGGCGCGGCGAGGTTTGAATAATTCAACTGGTGCTCTTTAGCTTGGGCGAAAGCCGGAAGAATGAAAGGGTCCTCGAAAAAATGCTAGATTTCCTCTTTCTTCCCAGAATCGAGGTAGTTTTTTCGTTCCCGTGTGAGAGCAACGCCAAGAAATCCCGGACCAGCGGGTCAAAAACTTGGAACTTATCTCGGTTAAAACTTCGACCGGAAGCTTTATGGCACGCATAAAAAATTCCAGCGAAGTTACCACATTCGGCCCGGCATGAAATAATCATATCATGCCAGCAGCTGTTTCCGGCGACATTCGAGATGTCCAAACGCACAAATTGTGTGATGCCGACCTTTTCCGCCGAAGAAAGCCCCAGATATAAATGCTCCTTTCGCCATCCGAAATATTGCATCAATTAATTCTAGAAGAAGCACCTGAATGCGAGATACAGGTTAACGTCACGATGGATTAATAACGTCTGGTCAGCAGGTAATGAACCTGGTAAGCCGCTAACGTTGGGTTGCCAGATTTATGAATGAATAACAAAATTCCAAATCACACGCGAAACAACGCCATAATTGATACCCAACGGAAAGAGATGCGAATATAATACACGCCCAAAAAAATCTAGGGCATTTATTCATTTCCTTCAATATTAGCAAAATCTCGCAAGAGAAAATTTTCGAAATTATAGAGACAGGATATGATCGAACATTCGAAAAATATTTTAGCACATTTCAACACTAAGCTTCTTTCAGATATCGTTTTGAGAAAAAAATCGGACTACGCGAAAATATCAACACTCAACATATTTATTGCTCAATTTGATGGCGAAGCAGGTAACCGGGCAAAGCAAAGATTATTATTTCATACATTCTGGACGGCATCTTTTTTCGTGTTAATCATTTAAATAAACGAGCTGCGGGTGATCTATCGCATTTAATTGACGACGCCGGATTTTTTTAAATCCAAAACCCGTAATTTAAACGCTGGTGCTCGATTTATTCATTCACAAAATGCCCTGAATAGAAGAATCCGTACTTCATTTCACTGGATAACTTGATAAAGATTCGTTCTGACCATAATTTGAAAGATGTAACAAAAAATTTCCGAAAGTTTTAAAAGACTAAAACAAGTAAAGAATAACTCAGTTGGCAACCTGCTGACTGTTGTCCCAAAATAAAATGATCTTTCCGAGCGTGAGAGCCTGGTAGTGGGAAGTTCCCAGTCGAAATACAGTTGCTACATTCAATCATGCATGGGATGCATTCCGCAATCGCTCTCCATAATTTCAAATATTTTACAGCCTAAATTCTCATGCGGCCTTCGTCACGTTATTGATCACACTTCAAGTCAAATACAATTACATCTAATCGGATGTGCGATTTTGAAGCGACCACAAAAAAAGTTATCATCGCTTTGAATAATGAAATGCCAAGAGGATATTTTTTTCTGCTTCCTCTCTAGGTCGACGGGTTCTGGCAATGTATGTTTATCGCATTCAGCGCAAAGAGTTCAGGCCTATTTCCGGGGCCTCCACCCAAAACACCATTGATCAAACGAATGCAGCAGTTTCACGGACATCTCGGGGCGAAATCACGTTCAGAACCCGCGGGACAAGGAAATTCGCTTTCCTCTCCCACTTCGAGCGCGGATTAAATGGCTGGAAACGCGACGAAGACCCGGCCTTTTCCCGCTGAGGTAAAACAAGCATAACCATCGCCCGGAACAACCGGGGCTCGTTACACCCAACGAGGAAAGTTCCTGCTCACCAGTGCAAAAATTTTCCGACGGAGCAGCAACAAAGCCGTTGCTGCTGTAGACGGCAAAGAAACCGCATCTACTAGCTCCTTTTCGGGGAAACTGGGGCATCATCAAATCTACTTCGATACACATACGCTGCTGCCATGGTATTCCGCGATCACGTCCTCTCTTCAACGTTCGTTATCTCTCTTTTCAAAAAAAAAAAAATATTGTCTTGCACAACCAAATAGCTCGTTAGGATTTTATTCTCTTGCAGATTCAACGACGTTTTCCGGCGGACTTCGTCCAATTTCACCAGAAAATTAAAGTTTTTGCGCACTTCCTTTTGAGGACAAGGGCTAAGAAATCCGCTTTATCAGACGAGCGATTTTTTTTCAGCAACACTCAACGTCGACAATTGAATGTGTTCTGAGAATTTTTCGGATATACGACGTTTTTTAAAACTGCCATTACATTTTGACTGATACTGCAATTCAAAACATTACTTCCAACTTTTTCATCAGTTTAATGAACCTACCGAAGATTTAACCTCGAGGACCACTACTTTTTCAGAAAAATCCAATTGAAAATTATGCGACAGATCTGGGATTCCATCGAACTTTTTACTACCCTCCGAACCATAAATTGAATTGGGCATTCAGTGAGTCTTTCTGAAGCCAGTTTTGTTCACACGAGGAAGCTAACGAGTAAAACTAAAATTTAATTCAATTTATTTGGGTCAGAATTGCGGTATCGTGACAGTAATGTACAGTACATTAACTGAATGCGGAAAATGTAGAACTTTTCAACTGATTTTTGGAAAATAATTCAAAATATATAGCCATACGGGAAGCTTCTTGGCACCAGCTCTAAGGGCAAAGCTGGGGTGGACGCTGGAACGGAAGTTCAGGAGAAACTGCCGGACGAAGCCAAAGATCCGAAGCGTGATTTTGTCATTCACGGCATGATTAAAACCAAAAATAGCACGATTAATTTCACCATCGGTTTTAGTTACTGCATTGAAAAATTGCTAGCGACGGGCAAGGTAAATGCACTTTTTCATTCAGACCTTTACGACGGTTTTGGTACGAAGGAAAATCCTTTAAATTTTGTAAACGTAATTTGGTTCGATACAAAACATTTCTTCAGATTTAATTGATAGGTACAAGAGAAAATCATATTGAAGCCCTTTTCGTAAAGTGCGAAGAAAAATAATGCTAACACCGGGTTAACCAGAAAGATGCCGACCGATTTCGATACCTCCTTGGTAGACAGTATCAGAGACAAAATTATCGCAATCATTGTGTTTAATTTCCCTAAAAGGATTTAGATGCAGTGTCGATCGAAAAAAATTGGAGAAATACCCCGAATGTCATAAATTGTAGCTTCCGAGAATGCATAACCTTCGTTTCTGAACTCAGAGAATGTCTGTGGAAGCAACAATAGGCTAATTGCGCAAGAAGCCGCCGTCACAGTTCGATTCCTGTACAACTAGTAGGCAGTACTGTACTTTATTCCAGGAAAGTACTCAGCAATTTGCACAGCTCCGAAAATGCTTTTCCCTCACTGGAATATGGCATAATTGTATAGATCGTGCGGCCATAAAATAAATATCACTCAGACGTTACAGCAAACGAATACAGTAAATAAAAGCAATGACGGAACAGGACGGCAGAACGATGATGGTAGACCGTAATGCATCACAGCAAAGTATTTATTGATGTGCTCAGCTTCGGAACTGTTCAAGAAAAAATGTGTACCTTCTTCGGAGGACTAAATCGAAGTCGTATTTACTCAATTGTCGTATTGACCTTAAAAGTTTATCTTGAAAAAACAACAAAAACGGATTAGTCTCACAAGCTCATCCTGAATATTTTCTGAAACTTGATGATGTCTCCGATTTGCAAGTAAAGCATATTATTGCAATTAAGCATTATTGCTTTTGGTGAGCGCAATTCTCAAATAAAAAAAATCAAGTCTTGAATGTAAATGAAGGCATCTTGACTATCATACAGTACAATACTTTTTCTCAGTTCACGGAAACGAATTGGTAATTGAAGTAGGAGTAGGATCTACAACGTAGTCTGATTTTGAAAAAAAAAGTAATGAAAGCGAAAGTAAATTGAATAGAAAAAGAGATGTTTTCCAACGAATTCTCTGAACATCGCATCACAAAAACGTATGCAGCAGTTTACACACAGTTTCGAAACTAATCTAATCCTACGGGACGAGGGGGCATAGACCATAGAGGCAAGGCCGTCAAATAAATATCCCTTGGATGCTCCAGACAGCAAAGGTTTAGAAAACAATAAGGAATCATGGGAGGGGTACGTACACCTACGTCTTTTTCACCACTAGAACCCCTCCCCCCATCCGCCTGACACAGCATAAAGCCGTTTCAAGCAGGGAAGTCCGGCTGAGGTCCCCGTCTCTGCCTGCTGCCTCCCACGAAGCGATGAAGGAACCTTCCGGAACCAGTTTTGGACCTTTTCCAAACGCTATCAATCCTTCCAGGTCATATTCAACCCTCCCCGCTACGTATCTCCCTCTTCATTGACACACTTCAGCCGGCACCCCCGGGCCCGGAGGCAAAATAGAGGCACAACGCCTTTGCAATCACAAACCCTCTTCCCCCCAAGCTCGTTTTCCTTGATTCACATCACAAACTACGACAGGCAACAAGAGTAAACAGTACTCACCTCCTCCTTCCACGTAGAGTTTGGCAGCTTGGAAGAAACGGGAGAAAAGCGAAACGGTTAAACAACGATGGATCAACGTCTGGCAAACGCTGCCGAACGCCACAGGGATTGATGGCGGGGTCGCGGCAATCGACTCCCGGGGCAAATTCGCAACAATACGGAAAGGTCAGAACGGTTCTGGCACGCGAGACAAGCCAGAGGTTATCTTTCTTCCTCAGTTCGGAGGCACCGCGATCAGGCTTTCTAGCGCATTCCAGCCGTTGCGAAGAGTGCGGGCCTAATGAAGCAGAATTGCTCGTCCACGTCCAGACGCGCGTGAGTCGAAGGCCTCGGTTACAAATCTCCCTGGCCTGCCTTCTACGCGATATTTCCGGCGTTCGAATAAAGCTTTATTTTCTTTCTCTCGTGGCGGGGAATTCATTGTGACCCCGGAATCCCTTGGGCTCATTCCCATGAGGCCTATTCCCGAGGAGAATGCGGTGATCTCGTATAAATTGCTAAGCGATGCACGTTGCTTCGGTCATTCCCTATACCAAAACCATACTAAAGGAACATGAAAGCAAACGGAAGTCTCCTGTCGAGCAAGTTATTCCCCAAGAACGCTTCTACCTTCGCATCCATCAAATAAAACAAAGCTCCCGAAAAATTAGACCGGTCTTACTTGATTTTCCTCTAAAAATGCATCAAGGCTTACCAACGGGTTAGGTATAGGTGGTACTGTACCTCGCAATTCGACCTAATACGTTGCTGGATTGGAGTTTACGAGACAACGTCAAATGGCATGTTTTCTACATGGTATTTGACATTTCTTGTCTCTCCGCAGGTCGAATTGCGAGTCGACCTCCCACAAAATTCGACCATCGAATTGCGGGACGGTCGAATTTCGAGGTACCACCTGCATTACTTTCACGCGAAAATGAAATTTCATGAATTAACATTGGACTTGTAATAAATGTAATGGATGTACAAAATATTGTTTCGCGGAAGCATGCAGATTGAAGTAATAGCGGATAACCGTATCGGAAAAATAAATACGTGAGAAGGTAAAAAAAATTGCCAGAACGATAAATTTGATAATACTAGAAAAAGTCGACAGGAAAATTAAGGTGCAGGTATTTACATACTGTAACTTCAGTAACCAGATCCTCTCTTGTTGGAATAGGTTTTGCTTTTTTTTCAGCGGTATGCATCTCACAACGAAAGCTTCAAACATCGGAAACATCGCAATCTTCAATAGTAGCCGGCAGTCTTCAATGACGAAGTGAAATTTAAAATTATCCATGTAACTCCGAACGAACCGTACATCGAGGTAAACCCTCAAGAGGAACTGCGAGGATGTCTTGAAAAACAATAGCACGAAATTCGGTTTCCATGTAATCAAGAAAAGTGTTTTCAGCGGTTTCGACGATATTTTTGAGAGCGAGCGACTTCGAGCTAACCATTTCGTTTCCCACCACAGTACCCAGTTTCTTCGTTGTTTATACAATGATTCGCGACGATCATCGATAGAAATATATTTTACGGCAGAGGACGGATCTGGCGAATGTCAGAGCTCCCAGAGAACTCGATGTAAACTTCAGAAGCGGATCCGATTCGCAATGTTTCAGCAAGCTTCTTGTTTCCTGTTCATAGAAAGGCCGCTGATTGCGTTCGCCGCGTATTCTATTCAGTACTCTTCAAGTTCCAACTATTCGAAGACCTCGAGAGAGCGGATCTCTCCAGGGATCCGTCAACGTTTCAAGGAAAGCTCAAATCCGCGCGGGGCTTGTTAGCCCACCATAATCGCCCAACGGACTCGTCCGAATAAATGCTTCGGGCCCCACAACAGCCGCAGGCAAAAACCAGCCCTCCGTTTGAAAAAAAAAAAACGGAAAAGGAGAGAGAAAACTTTCTTTCAACAACGCACGGGATTCCTTTCCGGATAATTCTGCGCTGCAAGATGGAAAGAAGACCTGGGCCAAAGAGTTCCCTAAGCGGAAAAGCGGGACAGCTGAGAGTCTTTCAAGTGCGGAATGGACCCACTCGGGCCGCGTATTGATACAAGCTGGTTCAGCTTTTCTGGAAAACGAAATTAGAGCCAAGAGGAAGATGAAGACACCGCAAATAAAAGCCCACGTTCCTCCTTCCAGTACCCAATGCCTCAGCGGAAATCAATGCTGATTGACAGGTACAGTTTATGTGCACAGTTTTCTTTTTCGCCAAGCGTTACTCTGGAAGATAAAACTCTGATGCCTTGTAAGGCGTAGAATCGATTTCTTGTTCACCCTTCCTCACAAAAACAATTTCATTTTATTTGCTTCAAGATATGCCTTCAAACAACAGGGGAGAATTTTCCGAACATAAAACGGGAAAATCCGTCATTAAACGAAAGATTCTGGGTAAGTTCAGCAAATCACTTACACATCTCAGTTGGGTGCTACATACTTATTTCTTTTCTGCCGCTTATCTTAATTTTAAAAATGCCAGTCTTACCAATAAATAGGAGGCACAAATCAATTTTAAATTTTTTTACATCGCCTCTTTTAAAAAAATAAATGTTGAGGGTCTGTCAGTTACAAGATTCTAATAATATTAGAACGTCTATGAAGCAACAAAAATCAGAGTATGAGCTTTCAAGATTTCTTAGCGAAATTTATGGTCATTTTTTGTTATGAAAAAAAAAACCAGACAGGGAATTTTCTAGCGCAAATGTGCTCGCAGCGAATGCGGCTGACAACTGAGAATCCCCGGAGAAGTTGCAAAAAATTAAACGGAAAATGCGAAATCATCAACGGAAACCTGAAGCATGCGAATTTTTTTTAGGCTATTCCTGATTATCTCCACAAGATTCCTCGAATAATCTTTGACTGTCCCATTATCTGTGTTGGCAATTACTGTAGAATGAATCATACAAAATTGTAACCTTGAATAAATAAATCCGGTCTCATTGCCTGAAGTGAAAAATGTGTTGGTAACAGGCAGAACTTTCAAGAACCCCTGGAAACGTCGCATGAAATCTGAATCCCAATGAAGGGGAACCTCCTAAAGCTTTGAAGAAAAAAAAAATAATAATCCAAGGTTCCGTTGAAATTGAAAGTGCGTTTCTCTCCAAGGCTTCTAAGAGACTACTTCTGGTACAACTTGCAGGACGAGAACGAGAAATGGAACATGAAGAGAATCGTGGAAAGGCTACGGTCTAAGCCTTCAAGCGCGGAAACCCCCCACTCTAATGAATACGGCTAAGTAAAGTTGAATTGCGCCTCGTCTACAAAGAGGCCCGCCTGGAGCAACGTCGCTCGCGTGCCAACTCATTACACAGGGAACTCACGTGATACGAATATCCCCATACAGAGAACCGCAGCAGCTCAACGAACGATGCAAATTCCGACGCGATCCCAAAGCAAGGCTTCAATGGTCAATGATATTCATCACGTTCAGATCGATGATTCGAAAAAGGCGCGTATTGGGAGCTGTACAAAAGCATGCAACTACACCGCACACACTACTATAAAGTATCGTACACAGGACTCAAGTGCACGTCCCCAATAAAACCTCGTTAAAACGCAGGGGAGACCTACAATTGAGGTTTCATTGGCATGAGCTACGTTGCCTGAATAATTTGGCCTATATTGTAATGTCTCAGATTTGCGCAGCTTTTCATTTCAAAGTAACAAAACAGAAAAGGCTTCAGAGTGGAACCCTGCCCCTGAGTTCACTTCAAAAGTAGTTTTCTTTATTCATGCATTTCTTCGCAAAAAATTTTCCGCTTGTTCCGTTTTTCTCTTTGCGACGGTTTTCAAAATTTACAGCGCGATCGCAATTTTCGAAATACAGTACATTGAGATTTTGTCGTAGATGAATAAATAGACTTTATTCAACAATTCATCAAAAAATGTCCTCGAACTGCCCAGAAGAAAATTATGCTTTGAAGTTGACCTCGTTTTTCATCCAGTTTTCCCAAAAGTTCCAGAATTGCCCTCAGCATCGTAATTCCAAAAGCCCAAAATTACTCTTCAGTCAATAAAATATAAAAAATATTCTTGCAACAAGTAGGAAACTCAAAATCTTCGCTAAGTCTAACAAATGTCACATACAGTACAGTACTTTACATCCACTTCTACGGGTTATGCTCTTAATATAGGGTGTCAGGCAAACCCTAGAAAAAAATCACTTTTAACTTTCGATATTGGCACAAAAATTGCAAAATTAATCATGTAACCCTCATTCAAACCAATTTCCATTTTGCACGATCTCACTTCACGAGAACACGAAATCTTTGATCACGTTATTCCCAGAAAAATAGTGGCCTTCACGTCCTAATTCCAACATTCAGTACTCGCCACAACCTCCACAGTACGATACATATGAGGTCTAGTGATGTCAAGATTTTGAGTTTCGGAAGATTGCACAGCCCTCATCAGACCAATTCATTTACAGACGGAACTTCGATTTTTTTTTCTGCGGCAGTTAATTTGCTAGAGCTTGAAAGACTCCTTCGCATAATTCAGGCTTCGTCTCTTCCATCGCGTCGCTTCATGATCCACCGCAGTCGGGGTCAAACAGCACTTTCCCGATAATTTGCTTGTCAAAGCCGCGCTTTCATCCCACGGAATTCCTCCGCGTTTGAGCCTCACTACCGCTTTTATGACGAGCTCCCGCTCAGATGAAGTGCTTCGCGACACGGATGCTGGTTTCGCTATTCCAGCAACTGTCCCCCCCAAAGGAGTTCGAAGCGAGACTCCTCAGCTGTGTGACCGTGTGCTTATTACCAGAGCCTTCCGAAGCACTACCTCTGTAAAAAGTCCTTACCTTTGGTTCGGCAAATAAATAAGGTTCACGGAAAGAAAAGGCCAAACGAATTTAATAAACGTACCATAAAAACTGTTCTGTGCTTTCACTTCGGCCTGGCCTTGGTCTCATGAGTAAAGATGTAAGAACATAATTTAATCAATCCCAAGGAAATAAATTTTCGTTTTCACATTCATTTTAAAAATTCAGATGTTTACGAAACACGAAACCTGATTATTTTTCGCTAATCCGTAAAAAAG